AAATGAACAAAAAGATTGTCGATGGTGACAAGCTGGGGCTCGAACTTCCAACCCCTAGATTGACGATCGAAGAACGGAACTCTACCGACTGGGCTACTGGCTCGCACTTACCAAGCGACAATTTATAATATATATAAACCTCCGGTTGCAAAGGATGGTGACGCCAAAAGTCACGTGTCGTCGTCGCACCCCGTCAACCCCACCCCTCTGCTCTGATGAAAATGAAAAAAAAAAGAATGTCGTTGGTGACGAGCTGGGGATCGAACCTCCAACCCCTAGATTGACGATCGAAGAACGGAACTCTACCGACTGGGCTACCGGCTCGCACTTACCAAGCGACAATTTATATATATATATAAACCTCCGGTTGCAAAGGATGGTGACGCCAAAAGTCACGTGTCGTCGGCACACCCCATCAACCCCACCCCCTCCGCTCTGATGAAAATGAAAAAAAGACTGTCGTTAGTGACGAGCTGGGGCTCGAACCTCCAACCCCTAGGGCGTTTTCGAATCCCTGTTCTTGACAACACTCGGGTTAACCCGACACGAGAACAGCAGTCTCGAACGTGACGAACAGACCCGAGAGGGCGTTCGCAGATCGATTTTTTTCACTCCCCGGTTGATGGAGGGTTCGGCGAGGTGCAGCTTGAACAAAATGGCGGACTGTGCAGATTCATAAGTTGTTTTTGTGTGGTTTTTTTTTTTGCTAATACCCTAATGATTGGAATAGAATATACCATTATAGTGCAGGTCTGCAATTTCATCCCCGCATGTCCGGTTTTGCAACAGTCGTCCTCGTTCATTTGGAATAGGTCTAAGTACAAATTCAGACGATTGTCGGCCATTTTGCATTGCTTTATATCGATGCGACACACGCACCCGCACGTTCGTAACGACCAGCTCGAGAACACGTTTCTCGTGTTACACGCGTGTTGTCAAGAACAGGGATTCGAAAACGCCCTCAGATTGACGATCGAAGAACGGAACTCTACCGACTGGGCTACCGGCTCGCACTTATCAAGCAGGCAATTTATAATATATATAAACCTCCAGTTGCAAAGGATGGTGACGCCAAAAGTCACGTGTTGTCGCAACACCCACCCCCTCCGCTCTGATGGAAATGGAAAAAAAAATAATTGTCGTTGGTGACAAGCTGGGGCTCGAACCTCCAACCCCTAGATTGACGATCGAAGAACGGAACTCTACCGACTGGGCTACTGGCTCGCACTTACCAATCGACAATTTATAATATATATAAAACTCCGGTTGCAAAAAATGGTGACGCCAAAAAGTTACGTGTCGTCGTCACACCACCCCCTCCGCTCTGATGGAAATGGAAAAAAAAAAAATTATTGTTGGTGACAAGCTGGGGCTCGAACTTCCAACCCCTAGATTGACGATCGAGGAACGAACTCTACCGACTGGGCTACTGGCTCGCACTTACCAAGCGACAATTTATAATATATATAAACCTCCCGTTGCAAAGGATGTTGACGCCAAAAGTCACGTGTCGTCGTCACACACCCCGTCAACCCCACCCCCTCCGCTCTGATGAAAATAAAAAAAAATGTCGTTGGTGACGAGCTGGGGCTCGAACCTCCAACCCCTAGATTGACGATCGAAGAACGGAACTCTACCGACTGGGCTACCGGCTCGCACTTACCAAGAAGGCAATTTATAATATATATAAACCTCCGGTTGCAAAGGATGGTAACGCCAAAAGTCACGTGTCGTCGTGGCACCCCGTCCACCCAATCCCACCGCTCTGATGAAAATGAACAAAAAGATTGTCGATGGTGACAAGCTGGGGCTCGAACTTCCACCCCTAGATTGACGATCGAAGAACGGACTCTACCGACTGGGCTACTGGCTCGCACTTACCAAGCGACAATTATAATATATATATAATAAACCTCCGGTTGCAAAGGATGGTGACGCCAAAAGTCACGTGTCGTCGTCGCACCCCGTCAACCCCACCCATCTGCTCTGATGAAATGAAAAAAAAAAGACTGTCGTTGGTGACGAGCTGGGGATCGAACCTCCAACCCCTAGATTGACGATCGAAGAACGG